GGGGGAGGGAGAGGGAGAGGGGGGAGAGGGAAGGGGAGGGAAGGGGGGAGAGGAGGGAGGGAGGGGGGGAAGAGGAGGGGGAGGGAGAGGGGAGGAGGAGGGGAGGGGGGAAGAGGGGAGAGGGGGGGAGGGGAGGAGAGGGAGGAGGAGGGAGAGGGGGAGGGGGGAGGGGAGGAGAGGAGGGGAGGGAGGAGGGGGAGGAGGGGAGGAGAGGAGAAGGGGGAGGGGGAGGAGGAGAGGAGGGGGAGGAGGGGAGGGAGAGGGGGAGGAAGGAGAGAGGGAGGGGGAGGGAGAGGGAGGGGGGGGGAGGAGGGGGAGGAGAGGAGGAGGGGGAGGGGGAGGAGGGGGGAGAGGAGAGGGGGGAGGAGGGGGGAGAGAGGGGGGGAGAGGAGAGGGAGGGGAGGAGGGAGGGAGGGGGAGGAAGGGAGGGAGGAGAGGGGGGAGGAGGGAGGGGAGGGGGGGGAGGAGAGGGGGAGAGGGAGAGGAGGGGAGAGGGGAGGAGGGGGAGGAGAGGGGAGAGGAGGGAGGGGAGGGGGAGGGAGGAGAGGAGGGGGAGAGGGAGGGGGAGGAGAGGGAGGGGGGGGAGGAGGGGGAGGAGGGAAGGAAGAGGGGGGGAGGGGGAGGGAGGGGAGGGAGAGGGGAGGAGGGGAGAGGGAGAGGGAGGGGGGGAGAGGAGAGGGGGAGGGGGGAGAGGGAGGGAGGAGGGGGGAGGGAGAGGGGGAGGGAGGGGGAGGAGAGGGAGGGAGGGGAGGGGGGAGAGGAGGGGAGGGAGAGAGGGGAGGGAGGAGAGGGGAGGGGGGGGGAGAGGGAGGGGGAGGAGGAGAGGGGGAGGGAGGAGGGGAGGGAGGGAGAGGGGAGGAAGGAGGGAGGGGGAGGAGGGGAGAGGGGAGGGAGGGGAGGGAGGGGAGAGGAGGGGGGGGAGAGGGGGGGAGGAGGAGGGGAGGAGAAGGGGGAGAGGGGAGGGGGAGGGAGAGAGGGGGGGAGGAGGAGGAGGGGGGGAGAGGAGGAGGGAGGGGGAGGGGGGAGGGAGGAGGGGAGGGAGGGGAGAGGAGAGGAGAGGGAGGAGGGGAGAGGGAGGGGAGGAGGGGGGGGGAAGGGAGGGGGGGAGGGAGAGGGGAGAGGGGGGAGGGGGAGGAGGGGGAGGGGGAGGGAGGAGAGGGGGGAGAGGGAGGAGGGAGGGAGGGGAGGGAGAGGGGAGAGGGGGGGAGAGGGAGGAGGGGGAGGAGGGGGGAGGGAGAGGGGAGGAGGAGAGGGGGGGAGGAGGGAGAGGGGGGGAGGGGAGGGGGGGAAGGAGAGGGAGGGGGAGGGGGAGGAGGAGGGGAGAGGGGGGGGGGAGGAGGGAGGGAGAGGAGGGGGGGGGGAGGAGAGGGGGAGGGAGGGAGAGGGGAGGGGGGGGAGGGAGGAGAAGGGGGGAGAGGGAGGGGAGGAGGGAGAGGAGGGGGGGGAGGAGGGAGGAGAGGGGGGAGGGAGGGGAGGAGGGGGAGAGGGGGAGGAGAGGGGGAGGAGAGGAGGGGGAGAGGAGGAGGGGGAGGGGGGAGAGGGAGGGAGGGGGAGAGGGAAGGGAGGAGGGGAGAGAGGGAGGGGAAGAGGAGAGAGGGGCGGGGGAAGGGAGAGGGAGGAGAAGAGGAGGGAGGGAAGGGGGGAGAGAGGAGGGGAGGGGGGAGGGAGGGGAGGGGAGAGGAGGGAGGAGGGAGGGAGGGAGAGGAGGAGGAGGGAGGAGGGGAAGAAGGGAGGGGAGGGGGAGGGGAAGGGAGGAGGGGGGGGAGAAGGGAAGAGGGGAGGGGGGGGAGGAGAGGGGGAAGGGAGGAGGGAGGGGAGGAGGAGAGGGAGGTAGAGGGGAGGGAAGGAGAGGAAGGGGGAGAGAGAGGAAGGGGAGAGGAGAGGAGGGGAGGAGAGGAAGGAGAAGGGAGAGAGAGGGGGAGGAAGGGGGAGAGAAGGAGGAGGGGAAGGGGGAGAGAGGAGGGAGGGAGGGAGAGGAGAAGGGGAGAGGGTGGAGGAGAAGGAGGGAAAGCGTAGAGAGGGGAGGAGGGGGAGGAGAAGAGAAGGGGGGGGGGAGGGAGGAAGAGGGAGGGGAGGGAGGAAAGTAGGGGAGAGGGAGAGAGAGAGAGGGGGGGAAGGGGAGGGAGAGAGGGAGAGGGGGGGGAGGGAGAAGAGGGAGAAGGAGAAGAGAGGAGAAGGGGGAGAGGAGGGAGGGGAGAGGGGAGAGAGGGGTAAGAAGAGGGGAGAAGAGGGGGAGAGGGGAGGGAGGGGGAGAGGGAAGAGGAGGGGGGAGAGAGAGGGGAGGGAGAAGGGGAGGGGGGGAGAAGAGGGGGGGAGGGAGGAGGGAGAGAGGAGGAGGGAGAAGGGAGAGAGAGGGAGGGAGAAGGGGGAAGAAGGGGAGGGAGGGGAAGGGAGGGGGAGGAAGGGGGGAGAGAGAGGGAGAAGGAGGGAGAGGGGAAGGGGGAGGAGGGGGAGGAAGAGGAGAGGGGGTGAGAGGGGAGGAAGAGAGGGGGAGGGGAGAGGAAGGGGGGAGGGGGGAGGGAGAGAGGAGAGGAGGAGAAGGAGGGGAGGGGAGAGGGGAGGGGAGGGGAGGAGGGGGGGGGAGGGGAGGGAGGGAGAGGAGAGGGGAGGGGGGGAGGGGAGAGAGGGAGAGGGGAGGGGGAGGGAGGGGAGGGGGGAGGGAGGGGAGGGGGGAGGAGGGAGGGGAGGAGGGAAGGGGGAGGGGAGGAGGGGGAGGGGGAGGGAGGGGGGGAGGAGGAGGGGAGGGAGGGGGAGGAGGGGGGGAGGGGAGAGGGAGGGGGGAGGGAGGAGGGGAGGGGGAGGGGGGGAGGGAGGAGAGGGGGAGGGGGAGAGGGAGGGGGGAGGGGGGAGGGGAGAGGAGGGGAGGGGGAGGGAGGGGGAGGAGGGGAGAGGGGGGGGGAGGAAGAGGGAGGAGGAGGGGGGAGGGAGGAGGGGAGGGGGAGAGGGGAGGGGGAGGGAGGGAGGGGGGGGAGGAGGGAGGGAGAGGGGGGGGAGAGGGGGGGAGAGGGAGAGGGGAGGGGAGGGGGGGGGAGAGGAGGGAGGGGGGGAGAGGGGAGGGAGGGAGGGAGGGGGAGAGGAGGGGAGGGGGGAGGGAGGGAGAGGGAGGGGGGAGGGAGGGGAGGAGGAGGGGGGAGGGAGGGGGAGGGAGAGGGGGAGGGAGGGGGGAGGGGAGGGGGAGAGGGAGGGAGGGAGGAGGAGGGGAGGGGAGGGAGGAGGGGGAGGAGGGAGGGAGAGGGGAGGGGAGGGGGGAGGAGAGGGGGAGAGGGGGGGGAGGAGGGAGGGAGGGGAGGAGGGGGGAGGGGGAGGAGGGAGGGGGGAGGGAGAGGGGAGAGGGGGGAGGGGGGAGGGAGGGAGGGGGGGGAGGGGAGAGGGGGAGGGGGAGAGGGGAGGGGGGGAGAGGGGGAGGAGGGGAGGGAGGGGGAGGGAGGAGGGAGGGGGAGGGGGAGAGGGGGAGGGAGGAGGGGGGGAGGGGAGAGGGAGGGAGAGGGGGGGAGGGGAGGGAGGGGGGAGAGGGGAGGAGGAGGGGGGAGGAGGGGGGAGGGGAGGGAGGAGGGGGAGAGAGGAGGGGGGAGGGAGGGGAGAGGGGAGGGGGGAGGGAGAGGGGGGGAGAGGGGGAGGAGGGAGGGAGGAGGGGAGGGGGAGAGGAGGGGGGAGGAGGGGGGGGAGGGAGGAGGAGGGGGGAGGAGGGGGAGAGGAGAGGAGGGGGGGAGGAGAGGGGAGGAGGGGGAGGGGAGGGGAGGAGGAGAGGGAGGAGGAGGGAGGGGGGAGGGGAGGGAGGAAGGAGGGGAGGGGGGAGAGGGGGGAGGGAGGGAGGGGGGGGGAGAGGAGGGAGGGAGAGGGGGGGAGGGGAGGAGAGGAGGGGAGGGGAAGGGAGGGGAGAGGGGGGAGGAGGGAGGAGGGGAGGGAGGAGGGAGGGGGGGAGGGAGAGGGAGGAGGAGGGAGAGGGAGGAGGGAGGGGGAGGGAGGAGGAGGGGGGGGAGGGGGAGAGGAGGAGGGGAGGGGGAGAGGGGGGAGGGAGAGGGGAGGGAGAGAGGAGGAGGGGAGGGAGGAGAGGGAGGGGGAGGAGGGGAGGGAGGGAGGGGGAGGGAGAGGGGGGAGGGAGAGGGGGGGGAGGGAGGAGGGGGAGGGAGGAGGGGAGGGGGGGGAGGAGAGGAGGGAGGGGGAGGGGAGAGGGGGAGGGGAGGGAGGGGAGGGGGAGGGAGGAGGGAGGGGGGAGGGGAGGAGGGGAGGGGGAGAGGGGGGGGAGGAGGGAGGGGAGGGGGGGGAGGAGAGGAGGGGGGAGAGGGGGAGGGAGGGGGAGAGGAGGGAGAGGGGGGGAGGAGGAGAGGAGAGGGGAGGGGGAGGAGGGGGAGGGGAGGAGAGGGGAGGAGGGGGAGAGGGGAGGGGAGGAGAGAGGGAGGAGGGAGAGGAGGGGGGGGAGAGGGGAGGGGAGGGGAGGAGGGGAGGAGGAGGGGAGGAGGGGGAGAGGGGAGGAGGAGGGAGAGGGAGGGGGAAGGAGGGAGGGGGGGGAGGGGGAGGGAGGAGGGGAGAAGGGGAGGAGAGGGAGGGGGGGAGGAGGGAGGGAGGGGGGAGGGGAGGAGGAGGGGAGGGGGGGGGAGGAGAGGGGAGAGGGAGGGAGAGGGGAGGAGGGAGGAGGAGGGGAGAGGGGAGGGAGGGGAGAGGGGAGGGGGAGGAGAGGGGAGGAGGAGGGGGAGAGGGGGGAGGAGGAGGGAGAGGGAGAGGGGGGGAGGGGAGGGAGGAGGGGGAGAGGGAGGGAGGAGGGGAGAGGGAGGAGGAGGGGAGGGGGGGAGGAGAGGGGGGGAGGAGGGGAGGAGGAGGGAGAGGGAGGGAGAGGGAGGGGGAGGGGGGAGAGGGGAGGGGGAGGAGGGAGGGAGGGGAGAGGAGGGAGAGGGAGGGGGGGGGAGGAGAGGAGGGGGGAGGGAGGGGAGGGAGAGGGGGGGGAGGAGGGGAGGAGGGGAGGGAGGAGGGGAGGGAGAGGGGGGAGGGAGGAGGGAGGGAGGGGAAGGAGGGGGGAGGGGAGGAGAGGGGAGAGGGAGGGGGAGGGAGGAGAGGGAGGAGGGGGGGGGAGAGGAGGGGAGGGGGGAGGGGAGGAGGGGGAGGAGGGGGAGGAGAGGAGGGGGGGGAGGGGGAGGAGGGGGAGGAGAGGGAGGGAGAGGGGGGGGGAGGGGGAGGAGGGGAGGAGAGGAGGGGAGGGAGGGAGGGGGGAGAGGGGAGGAGGGGGGAGGAGGGGGGAGGAGGGGGAGAGGGAGGGGGGAGGGAGGAGGAGGGAGGGGAGAGGAGGGGAGGAGAGGGGGGAGAGGAGGGGGGGAGGGAGAGGAGGGGGAGGGGAGGGGGGGAGAGGAGGGAGGAGGGGAGGGGAGGAGGGAGAGGAGAGGGAGGGGGAGGGAGGGGGGGGAGGAGGGGAGAGGGGGGAGGAGGGGGAGGGAGAGGAGGGAGGGGAGAGGGGGGGAGGAGGGAGGGGGAGAGGGGGAGGGGAGGAGGAGGGGAGGGGAGGGGGAGGGAGGGGAGGAGGAGGGAGGAGGGGGAGGGGGGGAGGGGAGGAGGGGAGAGGGGGAGGGAGGAGGAGAGGGAGGAGGGGGGAGAGGAGAGGGAGGAGGGGAGGGGAGAGGGAGAGAGGGGGGAGGGGGGAGGAGGGAGGGGGGGGAGGAGAGGGAGGGGGGAGGAGGGAGAAGGGGAGGGGGAGAGGGGGAGGAGAGGGAGGGAGGAGGAGAGGAGGGGGAGGAGGGAAGGAGGAGGAGGGGAGAGGGAGGGGGGGAGGGGAGGAGGAGAGGGGGGGGAGGAGAGGGGAGGAGAGGGAGGGGGGGGAGAGGGGGAGGGAGGAGGGGGGGGAGAAGGGGGAGGAGGGGAGGAGGGGAGGGGAGGGAGAGGGGGGGAGAGAGGGGGAGGGAGGAGGGGGAGAGGGAGGGAGGAGGAGAGGGAGAGGGGGAGGGAGGGAGGGGAGAGGAGGGGAGAGGGAGGGAGGGAGAGGAGGAGGGGGAGGGAGGGAGGGGGAGGAGGAGGGGGGAGAGGGGAGAGGGAGGGGAGGAGGGGAGGGAGGGGAGGGAGGGGAGGAGGAAGGGGGAGGGAGGGGAGAGGAGGGGGGGAGGGGAGAGGGAGGGGGGAGGAGGGGGGGAGGGGAGAGGAGGGAGGGGAGGGAGGGGAGAGGGAGGAGGGAGAGGAGGGGGAGGGGGAGGGGAGAGGAGGAGGGAGAGGGGGAGGAGAGGGGAGGGGGAGGAGAGGGGAGGAGGGGGAGGGAAGAGGAGGGGAGGAGAGGAGGGGAGGAGGGGGAGAGGGAGGGAGGGGGGAGGGAGGGGAGAAGGGAGAGGAGGGGGAGAGGGGGAGGGGGGAGAGGGAGGAGAGGGGAGGGAGAGGGAGGGGGGAGGAGGGAGGAGGGAGGGGGGAGGGAGGGGAGGAGGGAGAGGGAGGGGAGGAGGGAGGAGGGGAGGAGGGGGGAGGGGAGAGAAGGGAGGAGGGGGAGGGGGAGGGGAGGGAGGAGGGGGGAGGAGGGGGGAGAGGGAGAGGAGGGAGAGGGGAGGAGAGGAGGGGGGGGAGGGAGGAGGGGGAGGAGGGGAGGGAGGAGGGGAGAGGAGGGAGGGGAAGGGGGAGGAGGGGGGGAGGAGGAGGGAGAGGGAGGGGAGGGAGAGGAGGGGGGAGGGAGGAGGGAGGGGAGGGAGAGGAGGGGGAGGGAGGGGAGGAGGAGGGGGAGGAGAGGAGAGAGGGAGGGGGAGAGGGGGGGAGAGAGGGGAGGGAGGAGGGAGAGGAGGGGGGGGGAGAGGGAGGGGAGGAGGGGAGAGGGAGGAGAGGAGGGGGGAGAGGAGGGGGAGGGAGGAGAGGGGGGGGGGAGGGAGAGGGGAGGGAGAGGGGAGAGGAGGGAGGAGGGAGGGAGGAGGGGAGAGGGAGAGGGGAGGGGAGGAGGGAGAGGAGGGGAGGGGGGGAGGAGGGAGGAGAGGGGGGAGAGGGGAGAGAAGGAGGAGGGAGGAGAGGGAGGAGGGAGGAGAGGGGGGAGGGAGGAGAGGAGGGAGGGGGAGGAGGGAGGGGGGGAGGGGAGAGGGAGGGGAGAGGAGAGGGGGAGGGGAGAGAGGGGGAGGAGGAGGGGAGGGAGGGGGAGGGAGAGAGGGAGGGAGGAGAGGGAGGAGAGAGGGGGGGAGGGAGGAGAGGGAGGAGGGAGGAGAGGGGGAGGGGGAGAGGGAGGGAGGGGAGGGAGGGAGGGAGAGGAGGAGGAGAGGGGGAGGGGAGAGGGAGGAGAGGGGAGAGAGGGAGGGGGAGAGGAGGGAGGAGGGGAGGAGGGGGAGAGGGAGGAGGGGGAGGGAGGGGAGGGAGGGGGAGGAAGGAGAGGGAGGGAGGAGGAGGGGAGAGAGGGAGGGAGGAGGGGGAGGGGAGAGGGAGGAGGGGGAGAGGAGGAAGGGAGGAGGGGGAGAGAGGAGGGAGGGGAGAGAGGAGAGGGAGGGAGGGAGGGGGAGAGGGGGAGAGAGGGGGGAGGGAGGGGGGAGAGGAGGGGGAGGAGGAGGGGGGAGGGGAGAGGGAGGAGGAGGGAGGGGGGGAAGGGGGAGGAGAGAGGAGGGAGGGGGAGGAGGGAGAGGGGGAGGGAGAGGGGAGGAGGGAGGAGGGGAGGAGAGGGGAGGGGGGAGAGAGGGAGGGAGGAGGAGGGGAGAGGGGAGGGGAGAGGGAGGGAGGGGGGAGAGGAGGGAGGAGGGGGAGGAGGGGGAGGGAGAGAGGAGGGAGGAGGGGGGGAGGAGAGGGGAGGGGGAGAGGAGGGAGGAGGGAGAGGGGAGAGAGGAGGAGGAGGGGAGGGAGGGAGAGGAGGGGGGAGGAGAGAGGGAGGAGAGGAGGGGAGAGGAGGGGGAGGGAGGAGGGGGGAGGGAGAGAGGGAGGAGGAGGAGGGAGGAGGGGGAGAGGGAGGAGGGGAGGGGGAGAGGGGAGAGAGAGGGAGGGAGGAGAGGGAGGAGGAGGGGAGGAGAGGGAGGAGGAGAGGGAGGAGGGGAGGAGGGAGGAGGAGAGAGGGAGGGGGGGAGGGGAGGAGAAGGGAGGGGGGGAGGAGAGAGGGGAGAGGAGAGGAGAGGGAGGAGGGGGGGAAGGGGAGAGGGAGGAGAGGAGGGGAGGAAGGGGAGGGAGAGAGGGAAGGAGGGAGGAGGAGGGGAAGAGGGAGGGGAGAAGGGGGGGGAGGAGAGGGAGGAGGGAGAGGAAGAGGAGAGGGGGGGAGAGGGAAGGAGGGGAGGGAGAGGGGAGGAGGGAAGGGAGGAGGAGGGGGGAGGAGAAGAGGAGGAGAGAGGGAGAGGAAGGGGGAGGGAGGGGGAGAGAGAGGGGAGGAGGGGGAGAGGAAGAGGGGGGAGAGGGGAGGGAGAAGAGGGGAGGGGAGGAGAGGGAGGGAGGGAGAGGAGGGGGAGAGAGGGAGAGGGGGAGAGGAGGGGGGAGGGAGGAGGGGAGGGAGGGAGGAAGAGGGGAGGGGGGAGGAGGAGAGGAGGGGAGGAGAGGGAGGAGGGGAGGAGGGGAGAGAGGGAGGGGAGAGGGGAGGAGAGGAGGGGGGAGAGGAGGAAGGAGGAGGGGGGAGGAGGGGAGGAGGGGGAGAGGGGGGAGAGGGAGGGGGAGAGAAGGGAGGGGAGGGGGAGAGGGGGAGAGGGAGAGGAGGAGGAGGAGGAGGGGGAGAGGGAGGGGAGAAGAGGGAGGGAAGGAGGGAGGGGGGAGAGAGGGGAGGGAGGGAGAGAGGGAGAAGGAGGGAGGGGGAGGGGAGGGAGGAGGGAGGGAAGAGAGGAGGAGAGGGGGAGAGGAGAGGGGAGGGAGGGAGGAGGGAGAAGGGGGAGGAAGGGGGGGAGAGGAGAGGAGGGAGGGAAGGAGGGGAGGAGGAGAGGGAGGAGAGGGGGGAGGGGAGGGGGGGGGAGAGGGGGAGAGGGGGAGGAGAGGAGGAGGGAGAGAGAGGGGAGGGAGGGAGAGGGAAGGGGAGGGAGAGAGGGGAGAGAGGAGGGGGAGAAGGAGGAGAGGAAGAGGGGAGGGGAGAGGGGGAGGGAGGGAGAAGGGGGAGAGGAAGAGGAGGGGGGAGGAGGAGAGGGGGAGGGGAGGAGAGGGAGGAGAGGGGGAGAGGGAGGAGGGGAGAAGGGAGAGGAGAGGGGGAGGGGAGAGAGAGGGGAAGGAGGGAGAGGGGGAGAGGGGAGGAGGAGAGGAGGGAGGAGAGGGAGAGGGGGGAGGAGGGAGAGGGGGGAGGGAGGAAAGGGAGAGGGGAGAGGGAAGGGGAGGAAGAGGGGAGGAGAGGAGGGGGGGAGAAGAGGAGGAGGGGGAGGGAGGAGAGGGAAGAGGGGGAGAGAGGGAGAGGGGAGAGGAGAGGGAGGGGAGGGGGAGAGAGGGAGAGGGGGGAGAGGAGAGGAGGGAGGGAGAGAGGGGAGGGAGAGGGGGGAGAGGAGGGGAGGAGGAGGGGGGGGAAGGAGGAGAGAGGGGAGGGGAGAGGAGGAGGGGAGGAGGAGGGGGAGGAGGGGGAGGAGAAGGGGAGAGGGAAGGGGGAGGGGGGGAGGAGGGGGAGAGGGGAGAAGGGGGAGAGGAGAGGGAGGAGGGAGAGGGAAGAGGAGGGGGAGAGGGGAGGAGAAGGAGGAGAGGGGAGGAAGGGGGAGGAGGAGGGGAGGAGGGAGGGGAGGAGGAGAGGGAGAGGAGAGGGGAGGAGGGGGGAGAGGAGAGGAGGGAGGAGGGAGAGGGGGGGGAGGAGAAGGAGGGGGAGGGGAGGAGGGAGGGAGGGGGAGAAGAGGGAGGGAGGAGAGGGGAGGGGGAGGAAGGGAGGAGGGGGAGGGAGGGGGAGGGGAGAGGAAGAGAGGGGGAGGGAGGGGAGGGAAGAGGGAAGGGGGGGAGGAAGAGGAGGAGAGGGGGAGGAGGGGAAGAGGGGAGGGAGGGGGAGAAGGGGGAGAGGAGAGGAGAGGGAGGGGGGAGGAGAGAGGGAGAGGAGAGGGAAGGAGAGGGGGGAGGAGGGGGAGGGGAGGAGGAAGAGGGAGGAGAGAGGGGAGAGAGGGGGGAGAGAGGGGGAGAGGAGGGGGAGGGGGAAGAAGAGGAGAGGGGAGGGGGGGGAGAGGGGAGGAGGGAGAAGGAGGGAGAGGGAGGAGGGGGAGGGAGGGAGAGGGAGGAGAGGGAGGGGAGGGGAGAGGGGGAGGGAGGAGAGGGGGAGGAGGGGAGAAGGAGGAGAGAGGGAGAGGAGGGGGGGAGGCAGGGAGAGGGGAGGAGAAGGAGGGGAGGAGAGGGAGGAGAGGGGAGAGGGGAGGGAGGGGAGGGAGGAGGGGAGAGGGGGGAGAGGAGAGAGGGGAGAGGGAGAGGGGGGGGAGAGGAGGGAGAGGGAGGGGGAGGAGGAGAGGGGAGGAGAGGAGAGGGGAGGGAGGAGGGAGGAAGGGGGGAGAAGGAGAGAGGGAGAGGGGGAGGAGGAGAGGGGGGAGGAGAGAGGAGGGGGGAGGGAGGGAAGGAGAGGGGAGAGAAAGGGAGGAGAGGGGGGAGGAGAGGAGAGGAGGGGGAGAGGAGAGAGGGAGGGAGGAAGAGGAGAAGGAGGGAGGAGAGGGAGAGAGGGGAGGAGGGAGGGGAGAGGAGGGAGGGAGAAGGGGAGGGGAGGGGGGGAGAGGAGGAAGGGAGAGGGGAGGGAGGGAGAGGAAGAGGAGAAGGGAGGAGAGGGGAGGGAGGGAGAGGAGAGGGGGAGGAGGGAGAGAGGAGGGGGGGAGGAGGAGGGGGGAAGGGAGGAGGGGAGGGGGAGAGAGGGGGAGGGAGGGGGGAGAGGAGGGGAGGAGGGAGAGGAGAGAGGGAGGGAGGGGGGAGGAGAGAGGGAAGAGGGGAGAGGGGGAGGGGGGAGAGGAGGGAGGAAGAGGGGAAGGGGGGGGAGGAGAGGGAGGAGGGGGAGGAGGGGGAGAGAGGAAGGAGGGGAGAGGGAGAGAGGGAGGGGAGGGGGAGGGAGAGGGGGAGGAGGAGGGGGAGGAGGGGAGGGGGGAGGAGAGGGAGAGAGAGGGGGAGGAGGGAGGGGAGAGGAGAGGGAGAGAGGGGGAGGGGAGGAGGGAAGGAGGGGAGGGAGGGAAGGAGGGGAGGAAGGGGGAGGAGGGGAGGGAGAAGAGGAGAGGGAGGGGGAGAGGGGGGGGGAGGGGAGGAGGAGGGGAGAAGAGGGGAGGAGGGGAGGAAGGAGGGAGGGAGAGGGGGGAGGGGAAGAGAGAGGGAGAGGGGAGGGAGAGGGAGGGAGGAGGGAGGAGGGAGGAGGGGAGAGGGGAAGAGGGGAGAGGGAGGAGGGGGAGGAGAGGGAGGAGGAAGGGAGGGGAGGGGAGAGGGGAGGGGGAAGAGGGAGAGGAGGAGGGAGAGAGGAGGGGGGAGGGAGGGGAGGGAGAGGAGGAGGGGGAGAGGGAGAGGGAGAGGGGGGAGGGGAGGGGGAGGGGGGGAGAGAGGAGGAGAAGAGGAGGAGGGGGGAGAGGAGGGGAGGGGGAGAGGGAGAGGAGGAGGGAGGGGAGAGAGGAGGGAGGGGGGAGAGGAGAAGGGAGGAGGGAGGGGAGGGAAGGGAGGGGGAGGGAGGAGGGGAGGGGGGGAGAGAAGGGAGGAGGAGAGGGGAGGGGGAGGGAGGGAGGGGAGGGGGAGGGAGAGGAGGAGAGAGGGAGGGGAGAGGGAGAGGAGAGGAGGGAGGAGGGGAGAGGAGAGGAGGGGGGAGAGGGGAGAGGAGGAGAGGAGGGAGGGGGAGAGGAGGGGAGGGAGGGGAAGAGAGAGGAAGGAGGGGGGAAGGGGAGAGGAGAGGAGGGAGGGGGAGGAGGAGGGGAGGGAGAGGAGGGGAGGAGGGGGGAGGAAGAGAGGGGGGAGAGAGGGAGAGGAGGGGGAGGGGAAGGGAGGGAGAGGAAGGGGGAGGGAGGAGAGGGAGGGAAGGAGGAGGGAGGGGAGGGAGGGGGGGGGGGGAGAGGAGGAGAGGGGAAGAGGGGGGGGGGGGGAGGGGAGGGGAGAGAGAGGAGGGGGGAGAGGGAGGGGAGGAGGGAGGGAGGGAGGAGGGGAGGAGGAGAGGGGAGGGGAGAGGGAGGGAGAGGAGGGAGGGGAGAGGGGGAGGGAGGTGAGGGGGAGGGGAGAGCGGAGTAGAGTGGGAAGAGAGGAAGAGAGAGAGGTGAGAGGGAGAGGGGGTGGAGAGGGGGGAGATGAGAGGAGGAGGGAGAGGAAGAGAGGGGGAGAGGGGAGAGAAGGTTGTAGACGGAGGGGAGGAGGAGGAGCGTAGGAGAGGGAGGAGGAGGGGGGAGGGTGGGAGGAGTAGAGGGGGAGGGGGGGAGGAGGGGGGGGGGGAGGGATTGGAGTATTGGCTGATGGATGTAGGGAGGGAGTGGGGAACGGGGAGGTGAGTTCTAGCGGTAGAGAGGGGATTTGTGGGAGTGAAGAGGATGGGTGGAAGGAGCGAGCAAGAGGGCCGAGCAGCCTCGCGGAGAAGGGATGAGGGGATTGGGGGAGACTTGGGAAGGGGGGGAGGAGGGAGCAATGTGCTCAGGGCTACGGGCGTATCTCTTGTATTTTTTCGCCGTCCACTTTAGCTATTATCTAGTCTGTTTGTTTGTAATCGTTTGTAGTGATTCGAGTTGTGTTCTCATGTACGGGGGTGTGGAAGAGTGTGATGTTTTGTGTTTATATGGACCAGATAGAGGTGTTGGCGTGCCTGTTTCTGTTATTACTCCGAGTATGGAGTTTAAGCGATAGGTCTATACTGTATAGCCTGGGGGCGGGGATCTCGGGATTTAGGTGGTGGTGCTTTGTCAACTCCGTCGTAACAGTTAACATTATGTGCAGTAGTGGACCACAGCCTCTTATGGACGTACGGTTTTACTCTCTGGGCACGGGGGTGTCCTTTGGTCACGCGGCCAGGGGGGGGGGGACGGGGGCCGAGTAGGGGCGGAGGGGCGAGGCGGGCCGGCGTCGAGGCTTTGCAGGGAGGAGGGGGTGGAGTCTGCCTGGGGGGGGGGGGTGAGAGGTGGGGTGGCGGAGGCGCAGCAGGGCTGGAGAGGGGTCAGGGTTTCGGAGAGGCGAAGCTTTTCCGGCTGGGGGCGCAGGAGACGAGCTTGTGCGCGTAGCCTTTGTGCAGTCTCTGTCTAGTTTGGTGCCGGGTTTTGGGGCTTTTGATTTCGTGATTTTTACTTCTCTTTTTGTTCTGTGACTTGTTTCTGGTATGTTTCTCTCTCTCTTT